AATGCACATAGATTCACGAACAACAATAACAAAAAAAATCCGATAATCCGATTCATGGCAATAAGCTCTAAAATACTATATAGATAAAATTTCAGACATTTGAGATGCTGCGAACTTTGACATTCGGTGATGCCTCCACATAGTACAGAGTATCTGGAGAAAAGCACCACTAATCTTTTTACTGGGAAGTAAAAAACTTCAAAGAACTCCCCACTTATGCCAAATAGTTTTGCAACTCTTATTAAACTTTTTATCTGATGATAAAAGAGACATTTGGTAACATACAGTTGTCTGGATAGTATCAACCGTTAAATTCCATTCGCACGATAAAATCCTTGCAAGCTTTCGATCGGTATCGGTACCTTGCTCTGCTATCTAAAATAAATAAGAATCATTGTTTTACTGTAGCTAGTAGTCCAACCTTTGCAAGGAATTGGTGTCTTCGCTCCATTACGGCATCATCAACTTTTTCAAGTGGTATAAGCGGATGTGAATCGAGGGGATGGAAAAACGCACGTTGTCCAATGGGGCAGAAAAGGATACTCAGTATATGTAATCGAAGTCCAGAAGAAAGCTGCAATAAGATTTAGAATGTGCATTCACTAGCTATTTATAGCCGACTACATTGTCTACCTGAATGGCAGCAGCTACAGCAAGATGATAGTGATGCAAGACAAGATGATAGTTTACAAGCGCTTGTCGATTCGCTAGTTCTACCAGAGAATCGCGTGAAGTGATTGATCCTTGAAGAGAGGATGGCGGATGGGACTGCGCTATCTGAAAGAAGAAACTGAAGCAAGAGCAGATATATAATAGACAAAAGAAAGAAGGAAGTGCAAGCGCTAACTTCAATGAAACTTTCTAATTGAATTTGAGATGGAGGTGGTGGATCTCTAACGTCATCCATAAGCATTTTTAGAAGCTCGTGACATTTTGACAGAAATTCCACCTGAAATAGGTGATATCTTCGGTTATACGAACGATATAAACGAACATTCAGTTTGAAAGATGTTTGGTTTTTATATGCAGAATAAACTCTTAGTTGTAAAAGTTAATCTTCTCACAATTCGTATTTCTGGCATGTGAAGCTGTTTTCGAGCTTCACGTTCTTTGGGGGCACGACCCGTCTTCTCGATTAATAGAATTACTTCTTTAAATCGTTCTGAAATGAAATTCTGCCACATTAACGATATGACACCATGTCGCAGGCGGCAATCCTCAACCGAGCTCAAGTATCTGATCGCAGGCTGAAAAACCTGTTTAATTGAATTGAGCGTCACAGTACTAAAAAAACAGCTCTCACCTCTAAGTTGTCGAAGTTTTCAAAGCTCTCTTTGAACCAAAGACTCATCATCTCCCATGCAATCTCACATCGAAGCAGTGATAGGTCTAGAGTGTGTGGAAG